GAGGAGTTGGAAGTGACAAGCACTTCCTCAGACAACAATGTGAACAGTTATCGAAGTAAAATTAAATAAGTTAGTCTGATAATTGACATGTCGCTTTAAGGTCTTAAAATAGACACTAAAAACAAACAATATTTGTCGTTTTGTTTCGACTTCAGGTCAAATCATTCCAACGAAAAACAGAGGATACATTTAACACCACCAATTTATAGTCCCGGCTGAGTTATTAGTAGCAACTCTTTTTTCCCTAAATAGCAATCACACAAAGAAATTCATCAAGGTAACATTCCCCTGGAGGGAGAACAAAAAAAATACCAGAAATGTACCTTTCTTACAGCTGTCAAAATAAGAACGTAAAGTCAAGATTTGTTTCAAAGTCATGAGCCTTGGGATAACGCCCCCAACAAGCTATCCAGGACCACAGGTGGTTGTTGTTGACAACCCATCACTCCTTTGAATGTTTAAAGGGATGGCAGCAATTTCCTGTTGTAGTCTCCGGAGAGATAACGAACTCTGAACGATATCGAAAGGGCCGTAAACTCTTTCGAATTTATTATAACGTGGACGATGTCGTCTGAATAGGCGTCTTTCCCTTAAACAAAACATTGAGACTTCAACGTCCCGTTCCTCGCCTTCACCTGCTTCGTTCTTCTAGTCTTATTAATTTCTATGGGGGTTCATTTTGTAACTTCTCCACGGCATCCTACAAAGAAGTTGTGAACAAGCTTCTTGATAGTAAAGCCCTAGGATTCCCTTTACTTCGTCAAATGGAGATGTTATTTCTTCGTTAAAAAGCAGAGGCAACTTCTAAATCTTCCTAGTGGGCCGAGTGCAATGAACTTGTAGACCATCTTCTTGCCAATTTGAGATGTTGTCTCTGTGGTCAGACTGTGAGAAATCTCTTCGCCAGAGAGCAGAACCAACTTCTAAATCATCCGAGAGGCGCTGGATTCCCCAAAAGAGTCACGTGTCAGTAGCTGTCGTTCATGCGTAACAATTCTGGCTTGTAGGTCCGCAAGGGCAACGTCACCGTCCCAAGTACTGCCCAACCCCTCATTCACTACCATTACCACCTAAAAGTTCCTAACTAAAACAATGTCGACTTATCTCTTACCTCATCCATTTGTATTTTAATTTGTTTCCCTATTTTATACACACGATAATACACGTTCAGACGGACCGGACCATCCCCGCAGTGACGCCGTACGTGAAATATGATAATAGTGTACAACAACGTTTTGTCTTAAAGTTGAGGGGGGCTGTTAACGACAAGTTTTTTTGTGCACTAACTAGTCACATAGGCACTTGGTAATTCTTGAACTTAAAAGTACAACTTTAGCACAAATTCCAAGACGGAAAGGCCCGGATTATTACAAATTAAACAACCCGCATCACCTACTTTGACAGGAAGAAGTAAACATTGGTTGTACATTCCTTTAAAAAGCGTGACTACCCTAGAATAGAAACATTTGTTGTCCAGAAGACTGAAGACACAGTTCTTAACAGCACTCACAACAAGATTGTTACGCTGGTTGGACGATTTGGTTTACCGTAAGTAGCTTATAAGTCTCAGGAGTTTATCAGAATTCGTATTATATTAAAGGTTTGCATCTGAGCAGCTGTTTGAGACAGATCTTAGATAGAATTCGGCACTGGGGATAGACTTTACTTTATGAAATGCAAAGATCATAGAACCTCGAAAGCTTTTGCGAAAAGTGTTAAGTTCGCAGAGGAGTTGGAAGTGACAATTAATGTACATACATGAATGTCAGCTATTCGAGTAATGGCTTATAAATGTTATTTAGTGCATTTTAGAGTATTGGAGGAATGAAAAAGGAACTCTGGTTGTGTTAGCTACCAAGGCGCTTTTGGAAGTAGATGGGTACGATCTGAGCAATCATCTAAGTTTCATTAGGGGAATAGGATGACTATTTAGGTGTTCTCTTCTTAGAAGTTCCTCCAAATATGATTAATTTCTTTCCGTTAGAGCTGAATTCAACTCTAATTCTATAATGTCAAAACGTATTCTTGCTGTGACTAATGCTTCAGTATCCAGCCATGGAAAGTTATGGGTATTAAAGAGTTGTATAATGGTTACTCATCTTCTCAAGATAGTGAGTGACATACATGATACGCTTTGTTATATGATCTGGCTCGATCTTTGTACAGTAAGGGATTTACCGTTGGGCATGGCGTTATATAGGTCAAGGTGAGTGGTAGCAGTGCCGAGGACTTGGATGAATAGACAGTCATAAAGTGGCTAGTTGCTAAAGCTCCCCTGTTGTACACCAATACTGCGTGGATCGTCCTTCAGTACGTGTATTCTCGTGGAATTCAAAATAGGGAAGAGTAGGAAAACCACGGAAGGGTTTGCCAACCGCTAGTTAGGGATAATCCGGACGTAACAGTCAACAGGGATAATGTTGGAGAGTTGGACAGTATATGGGAGGAGGGTGACATTACCTCCATGCCAGAATTGTTGAGCATGAAGATCGGGTACTGAACGACTTAGACGTGGAAGATCTTTGGAGGTGTCAAGTGACTCCTTTGGTGAAACTAGCGCCAAACAGAAGTTGTGGAGTTTATCTCTGTCTGACGATTAGTTTGCTAACATTCAGACTGATAAGATAACATCCCCTCTGTAGAAGCGAAGGAAATCCAAAGGTGACACTTCGGAGATGACCGCCCACAGGTCGTTCGGAAATTAGCATTGTCGGAGAAGCCAAGCGTCCCCCCACAAGATAATAATACAGACCGTAAGATAAGGAAGGGGACGTTTCTGTCCAAGATGGCAATGTTCTCGTCAAGGCTTCTACTTTAAGGACTGGTAAACTTTTAAGCCGCTCTCCTACTGATCTCTGCAAAGAGGTAAGTAATTTGCTCTTTTCAGCATTCTTTACAACAATAAATGAGGAAGATCTGAGTACACAATATCTCCAAGATATTTCCTTTATTTAAAGTACATAATTCCAGCCAAGCCATGAAAAAGCACTTGATGTGCAAACACATCTACTAGTATCTAAATTTTACTATTTATACATATTTCCAACTCTGTTTATTATTTAGGTTGTAATTTACATCATTAAAGAATTACTTCAAAAGAGTTTTAGGTGATATCTTAACAACTTAAGAAAGACCACTATTTTCAATTTAATATATAAAATACAAAATTATTGAACGCCAACTTCAACTTGTTGAGACTTAAAAGCAAATATTTGTTTAATATTTTATACTTTTTATCTCAATCTTAACATTCTAATCATAAACATAACAGATTGAAAGGGGAAAACGTTATATAGGGAGCAGTTGGTTAATTATTAAACTTAATTAGTTGTTGCAACAAAATGTCTGTGTTACACAAATGTAAATACATATACATATATATGTATGGTTCTAATGATCTGTTAGTAGAATACACACATACAGTAAACAATTTTTTTAAAGCTTTAAATATTTCTTAATAATTAAATATTTTTTATTGCTTTTTGCTTTTACATTTTGTAATATTTATAGAAATTGTTCATGTATTACTTTCCTTGACCTATTCCCCGCTATTTTCGCTTTTATTTTATTTGTTCTTGTTGTTTTTGTTGTGTTTTTTTCGTATTTTATTCATTGAGCAAGTGACGGGGGAATTCCCTTTTGTATTGATTCTTTGGTGGGCTAAAGTTTATTCATCTTTTTATATATATTTTTTGTCTTTTCCGTTATGGTTGTTGTTGTTTTTGCTGTTTTGGTTTAGAGGTGATTACACTGCAGTAAAGTGTTTTTTTTTTTTTTTTTTGACAAAAACATAATGAAGACAATGATTTTTATAGGGAGAGTGACCAATTGCCTACCGATTTTATTGCAAATTTAAGGAATTAAAAAATGTTTCAGATTTTTATAATAAGTTTTAAATTTGATTGCAAAATTTTAGTAATCTATTAAAAGGGTAATAATTGCTTATCCTATCGTAATAGATAATTATAAATTTTATTGCAGAACTGTTTAGAGGTTCAAAAGAGTTTGTTCTTTTCTGACATCATAGTCTAAATTTGATGCTAAATCTATTATTAATGAAGAGCTTTACTTAAGTTTGATTACCATATAAATATCTTATCTAGTCTATAGAAAAGTATTTTCTCTTCGATAGTATATTCTCTTTTCTAATTTATGGTCTAAACAGTTGTGTAGTCTATGCAATAGTCGGTTGTCTCGTCTATGGACTAGTAGGTTATCTAGTTGTATTGGTATAGACTAGTCCTTTGTCTAGTCTATGGAGTAATAAGTTTTTTAGTATATGGTAGTCTGTTATATAGTCAATAAACTAGTCTATTTTCTAGTCAAAAGATTTGTATATTGTCTAGTTTATGGATATGGTACAATTGGAATCAAAAAAATAAAATTTTATGTCGTTTTGTTAAATTTTAAAAATTTCATTACCATCGCAGTCTGGAATCCATTACTATTTTTAATCCTAAAAAATATTTTGTTTTTACTTTAACCAAGATCTTGCAGAATTTTAACTGTTATCCAGCTTTTATGCCTTGAAAAAACGTTAGTCTGTCTGTCGCAACAAGTCCTGGGTCCCTTTCGAACAACAATTTACATAAAAATAATAAAAGAGCACTAATTAAAGGCTTCAGGAAGCCTTTTATCATTTAAACTATTTTAAAATTTATCAAATTTCACTGTAAATTTCTGAATTTTCCTTAAATTTATAAAAAAAAAAAAATCAAAATTTCTTTTGTTTACAATTCCCCACAAAAAAAATACACTCTCTTAAAGAAAATAATGCCAGACTTCTTTAACTTTTTCATATAAAAACAGAATTTTACTCTCCCTTAAACAAAAATTTTATGCTGGCAATACCCTTCATATTTAGTAAAAGGCGGAGAAATGCGCGGTTTGTTTGTATTTGTACTCATACTCATAAAACAAAAACAACAACAACAACAACACTACTAATAAAAACATACTAAAGTAAACAACAACAACAACAATAAATAACAATAACTCAC